CCGTCGCTATGATTGGGATGATACAATTTTTGGTCTCTTCTTCACGTTTAATTGGAGTCAATTCTTGCGATAGTCAATCATGTCTACAGACAATTATTTCTAGATTTTTTGCAGTCGGAAAGAATCAGCGAAGGTGAAACTCTGCTCGTTCACAACGTTGTCTTCCTTAACTTTTTAAATGTATTTTGAGTATTTTGTCCTCAAGTATGTGTCTACTTCATTGGTAGATTACAATTAACAGCTACCTTAGTCGGAGGGGTATTCTTCTTCTTATAAAAGATAAAGAAAAAGATAATCACACTTAGGCCGAGCCATTGGACCATGGACCCACTAGTCAACTGGGCTGATGATTGCCAATCAAAACAACAAAAACGAATGATTTGAAAAATATTTTTCTAAAGATGATCACATGTATCAATTATTAAAATGAAAAATACTTTCGTCATCACAAAAAGTTTAGATATAAATTATTATTGATTATGAAAATATTTTTTATTAATTAATTATTTTAAACGATACAAACGATTATTTCAAAGAAACGATCGATAAAAAAAAGGAAAAGCTGGTATAATGAGCATAGGGATTGAGGATCGTCAAGTGGGCGGATCAATTAGCTTCTGAACTTCCTAGCTGTCCCTTTCCCTGTTTTGTTTGTCTCCGTCCTTCCATTTCTTGCTTGGGAGAGTTTTGTTTTCATTTTCAAATTCATGCCCCTCAGTTCATTGGATACAATGTCCATCTTTTAAATCCCGTTGTCTGTGATACTATGTTGTCTCGTGCCAGTATACATTTTACATAACCTGGTTTATATTGGAAACAACATATAATGTTGACTGTGTAGTCATGCTTCACTAAACGTATTAATCTTCTGTCTGTCCTCCTGATGGCGGCAAAATATTTCTACGGACTCCGAAGGTTTAGTGGAGACCCACAGGCTATCTGAAGAGGCTGTATATGCGTATTGATAAAACATTTACAATCACACAAATGAGGAAAGCACACGAGGCTAAAGAGTGAAGGCAAATTCCCGGTAAAGCGGTGCCGGAACTCGACTAAAATGTGTAGAAGCTGATGTTTTTGGCTAGTCTTCGTAAATGATTCTCTACTTCGGAGGAGAAAACAAATTGCACTGTGCTCCCTCCACGCAACAATTACCAGGAATTTTGTTTGATTCAAAATATCAATTCACCTTGGGAACTTGTGTGAGCATAGTTTTTCCAGATCAACTTTCTGTTAATAAGGGTGCGCATGAGAACGTTTCTGTGCCCCGGAACTATTTCTGAACAGAAATGATTTTTTTTTATTCTGTGCCCGGAAACAATTTCTGAGTATTTGAAGGCGTTTGATAAGCTGTCGAAAATTTCTATTCCTAGAGTAGAAAGGAACAGAAATACGTTTGGTTAACTACACAAAATTTCTGTTCCCAAATAATATTTTAATAATATTTTGAATTATTTAATTTTTTTTTCTTTCTACTCTTTTTTTCTTTGGCCATGGCCGGTCGCCGGCGACCGGCGGCCGAACACGACCCAGGCCGGCGAGGGCGTCACGGCCCTCGCCGGCCGCCGGCGGAGGCGAGGGTCGCCGCTCGCCGCCGCGGAGGCGAGGGTCGCCCTCGCCGGCGAGGGCGAGGGCGGACCCTCGCCGCCCGGGCGAGGCGGCCTCGCCCAGATCGGGCGAGGCCGAGCCTCGCCGTCGCGACCCAAGGCGAGGTCGGCCTCGCCGTGGGTCGTGACGGCGAGGCTCGGCCTCGCCCGGATCTGGGCGAGGCCGACCTCGCCGTCGCGGATCGACGGTGAGGCTCGGCCTCGCCCGGGCGGTGAGGGTCCGGCCCTCGCCTCGCCGGCAAGGGCGACCCTCGCCTCCGCCGGCGGCCGGCGAGGGCCGTGACGCCTCGCCGGCCCTAGCTAGCCGGTCGCCGGCGACCGGCCATGGCCAAAGAAGAACAGTACAAAAATAAGAAAAGAAAAAAAAGAAAAAAAACTTATTCTCAAAATTGTGCCGAGAAATAAGAAGCAACTTTTTTTTACTTCTTGTTTCTCTTCCAAAACTGTTTCTCGGCATAAATTTTTGTAAAAATGTGCCCGGGAATAAAAAATTTACCAAACGCATTTCTGTTCCCAAACTATTTCTGGGAACAAAAGAACAGAAATTTTCACTGTTTGGCACATTGCCAAACGCGCCCTAAAACATCTCATGTCATTCCGTCTCGTTTGTGAAGAATGAATACTTGCATTGTCTGGGTTAGTTCCCTCTAGAAAATCGGAATCTAGCTCTAGACTAGATATGAGTACATATACTCCCACCAAGAGAGGTTATGCTCGGACTTGCTAAATTTTTTCTTCTTTTTCTTTTCTATTTCCTTTTTCTTTTCCCCCTTTTCCCTTTGCCACCGATCAGCATGACTTGTCAATGGCCGACAAAGGTCGCCAATGTCAAGCAAGGGCTGCCCTCACGAGTCTAGGGAGGGCCACTGTCACTAGCCTTGAGCACGGGTCACCCTTGCCTTTGGCTAGCAACTTCCGCCAGCCAACAATGAGGCTCGGCTGAGGGAAAAAAGAATAAAGAAAGAAAGAAAAAGAAAAGGGAAAAAGAATAAAGAAAGAAAGGAAAAGAACAGGAGAGAGAGAGAGACAGACACAGAGAGAGAGAGAGAGAAGAATTCATAAAATTAAAAAAATTGCAATAATTGTTCACAGATCATGCTACTACATAAAATAGCCGGCACTGACTAGACTGCCACGCCAGTGATTTTTTGCCAAAATTGACAAAAAAATCTAAATTGACAAATTGTCAAAAAGTTAAAGATTAAATTGATAAATGATCAAATGTTCAAAAAATAAATTAGCAGTAGTAAAATGTTTAGAACTGAATTTGCTATTATACAATAGATTTAGGACTAAATTAGCATAATTAAAATATTTAAAACTTAATTAGTCGCTGTACAATAGATTTAGGATCATTTTTCCTTGTCTCTTGAGCATATTTGCTTACTAAGGTAAAGAAAAGATTATAAGCTAACAAAGCATCGCATTGATGAACTCGTATAAGCTCCGTACCATTTTGCATTGTCCTGAGACCGACTTAATGTATGTAGCATCGATTTATTTAGGGTTAATACCACGAAAAACCCTAAACTGGTACACCTGTGACAATTTTACCTCGAACTATTTTTTTTACTATAAAAAATCTCAAACTGGTACATCTGTGACGAATTTACCCCGAACTATTTTTTCAACCACCAAAAAACCCAAACTGGTACACTTGTGACAATTTTACCCCGAACTATTTATTTGACCACCAAAAATCCCACACTGATACACCTGTGATAATTTTACCCCCGAACTAATTTTTTGACCACTGAAAACCCCAAACTAGTATATTTGTGACAAATTTACCCTCTGTTAGTGTCCGTTAAATTATATTAATATCACAAAAAATCACAAATTGGTAAACTTGTGACAAACAGAGGGGTAAAACCCAAAATCGGTACACATGTCAATTACCACATGTCATTAAACTTAGCAATTTGATAGTAAAATTTAACGGAAACTAACGGAGGGTAAATTTGTCACAGGTGTACCAGTTTGGGATTTTTGGTGGCCAAAAAATTAGTTCGGGGGTAAAATTGTCACAGGTATATTAGTGTGAGGTTTTTTATAGTCAAAAAAATAGTTCGGGGTAAAATTGCCACGGGTATACCAGTTTAGGGTTTTTTGTGGTAAAAAAATAGTTTGGGGTAAATTTATCATAAGCGTACCAGTTTGAAGTTTTTCGTGGTATTAACCCATTTATTTATATTTTCTTGATGTAACCGTCAAGACATTTAGTGACTAAATCCTGCGAAAATGTATACTAAAGTGAAAGTTTAATAGTTATTTAAGGGTTGCAACGTACTTAAGCTGTTCTTTCCGCAGAAGATTTGGAAGCAGTGTAGCTATGTGTCTAAGCGCATGAAAACAGCTCCTGTCAGTAGCTCCTTCGGTCAGAATGGGGGGTATGGGTTCAAGCCTTTGCCTTCCGAGTACTTTCAGACTCATTTATCATCCCTTTTAAGCTGCAGTTTCGACCCCATCTGTGATTACAAACAATCAGCAACCAGATCAGAAGTGACAGCATAATAGCAGTTCTTGTACCTGATAAGCCTCCAGTCCCAACTTTGCCAAATGAGGACTAAAGAGGCTCGACATTAGAGCACCCTTCCATGAGAACCAGGTAAAACTCCATTCAGAGTTCAATGTTCGAGATCAGTTCATTTCGCCCCGCGAAGACAGAACTCCATTAGATTCGCGATTTACACATGCCTAATTTGTCTCTCCACCAATTAAAGCCAAATGAGTCCATTTTTCGATCCTCCAGATTAATAAATGAATCAAGAACTATCGCTCGAAATTAGTATACCGTGATGTGACGGATTTTAATTGGGTATTGAGTCGAAAACAAAGACCCGACCCACCTATTTAAATGCTCACTTACAATCAATTCGGAGGAATTGAATATTATGTATAGATAAGGCATATATGTTGTACGTCCAAAAGGCTGGCCCAATCCGTGGCCCAGCTATGGGACTGGATATCTTAGCCCGCTGTGGGTGGGCATAGCAGCGTAAGACCAAGAAAGGGGTTAACATTAGTTGATAAGATTATAAAATAAACACACGGATTTGCGCGTGCGCCCCAAGGAATCACAACCGTTAGATCATACGGATCGCATCGGCTGAGATTCACTTGGGCTCAAATACCATCTTCGATCCACATCAAGTCAACCCCGGCTTTCCCCCGTTACAGCTGGCATTAGCAGAAGTGGGCCGTCGCCTCTATGCGGACGCAGAACCGTCCACGTACTGGACCAATTCCCCGCGAAAAAAAAGGGAGGCCCACACGAATCATTTCGGGTCCCGACCCGAATGATGTAAAACCCGCCCATCGCAACGCGCATCGATACTCTGCTTCTCGTGATCTCGGACTCCCTCCTCAAACTGACCGACGAACGAACGCAGCCATGAGTTTCTCGCAGTCTCGCGGATTCGAGAACGCTGCCCGGAGAATCACCGCGCTCGCGGACGGACTCAATTGCAAATGCGCCGGCGAACCCCGTCCCCATTCTAGGTCCATCGCCACCAGCTGCAGGGCCGTGTTGTTGCCGCGGTTCGGCGGGCCGGAGGCGTTGGTGCTCCGCGACAATGTGGAGGTCCCTGATCTTAAGCCGAATGAGGTTCTCGTTCGCGCTCGCGCCGTGTCCATCAATCCGCTTGATACTAGGGTGAGTTGGTTTTGCTAGGTTGCTGTTTTTTTTGGTCGTCCGGAGACGCGATGAGCCCGATCTTTAGCTGTTTGGCGAACTCTGGTGCAAATTTCGAACTAGGACATAAAGTTGCTGAATATGTTGGTTTCTCCGGAAACCTAGAAACTATCCTTTGAGCACAAAGGTAGAAGTGAACTCAGTGTAGCTTTCTCGGGTAGCGGCCAGTTATGTATTGGTTGTTGCCATTGGTAACTGTGGATAGGATGGAGAAGTGTAGTGCTAATGCCTGCGAAATTTTGGCCGGCATGAATTGAGGTTAATTAGGCGGTGAGTTTTGGTCTGATACTTTATTTAAGTAGCACAAGGCATATAATTTAACTAGTTCAATATGATTGGTGTTCCCTTGGAAACAGTTTATTTGGTTGTATGCGCGAAAATGCATGATTGCTTAGCCGTTAAATTGGTTGCACCAGGTATGGTTCTGTGACATGAGTCTCGATTTGTTTTGGATTACTTCCACAGTGTGCAGTTGTTGTGTGACAGTCTCATTCTGTCTGTTTGCAGATGCGTTCTGGATACGGTCGCTCAATATTTGAACCACTTCTACCTCTCATTTTGGGTCGTGATATCAGTGGAGAGGTTGCAGCAGTCGGAGCTTCAGTTCGGTCTTTAACTGTAGGCCAAGAAGTTTTTGGTGCATTGCATCCTACTGCTGTTAGGGGCACTTACACCGACTATGCAATACTGTCGGAAGATGAGCTTACTCAGAAACCAGAGTCAATTACACACGAGGTGGGCTTTGAGTTTTTTTTTTTTATGAAGTTTTACGTGAAAGTATTTTCCACGCTTGTATTGGTCTTGCAATCATGCATGTTTACTGTAGTGCTTTTTAGTATTGCATTTATAAGCTAGCATTGGAAAATGACATCAAAAGCTTCACACCTTGTAGGAAGCGTCGGTCATCCCTTTTGCTGCACTGACTGCATGGAGAGCTTTAAAAAGCACTGCTAGGATAAGTGAAGGGTACGTTCTGAATTTCTACTGTATTCATCTTTATAATATCTCCATTTGGATTGAACTTCAAAGAAGGTTTGCTTCCAGTTGCCCGATGCCATGTCTGACTTTTGTCTAGTTGATGTTCTTTTTCTAGTTTGATCTTCATGGTCCATCTTCACATGGTTTTGGAAAACATTCAACTTATTGAGAAGGAAATTGCATGGGAGACAGCAGGACTGTCTTTGAAATATGGTCCAAAATGAAGATACTTCACAGTTTGTTTGATTTTCCTTGCATGTGATGGAAAGATGTGAGTTATTTAACATATTCTGTCCCTGTGAAACCAATTGATTTCCCATTGGGAGTTCCAATGAGCTTTCTGTTTTAGTTTATATGTGTGTAGCTTGTACTCAAATGCTAAAAAATGATCTTATAGTAACTCATCTATTCTGATCAACTTGGTGGAACATAGTATAAGGTTATGAATTTATAGCTTTTAATACAACTCCCTCTGCCTATTCTAAGAGTAGCCTTGTTCTTTCCTTTTGGTAGGCAAAGGGTGCTAGTTATTGGTGGTGGAGGAGCAGTAGGTTTTGCAGCAATTCAGCTTGCAATGGCTAATGGGTGCCGAGTTGTAACCACTTGTGGCAGCCAAAGCGTTGATCGGGCTTTGGCAACTGGTGCTGAGCAGGCTGTTGACTACACAGCCAAGGTATGTCATTGCTTGATATTATATTTCTATATTTCAGATTTTATGGTGGAGAAAATCGTTTATATGGTAAAACATCTCGGTTGTGGAAGTTAATTTGTATGTAGGCACCTTTGTTTGTTCTACCGTCTATTTATTCTTGCTTTCACCACTTCATGACATGGTTGGCCAAAAAAAAGAAAAAAAATCATTTCTTCACATGGAAATAAGGAAGTTCCATGCCTATCACAAGAGCGATATATTTTTGCGTAGAACTTTCTGATAGGAACAATGTGTTTGCTTTCTCTCCTCTTTAAACAAATGATTACTGTTGCTTGGCAGGATATCGAATTGGCAATAAAAGGGAAGTTTGATGCGGTTTTAGATACTATAGGTGGACCAGAGACTGAGAGAATCGGCATTAATTTTTTGAAAAGAGGTGGACACTATATGACACTCCAGGTAGGATAAAGCATAGTTGTATGGTTTCCTCCTTTCGCAGAATATTGCAAGTTCAAATTTCTCTCGACCTCTGTTGCAGGGGGAAGCAGCATCATTGGCCGATAGATATGGATTAGCCGTTGGGCTCCCTGCAGCTACAGCAATGTTACTTAAGAAACAATTTCAGTACCGCTACTCTCATGGAATAGGTATGGTTCTGCTTTTTTTTTAATTGAAACTTCTACAGTAGATAATTCAATAGATAGACAAAATGATATCCCTCAACATTATCTTGGCTTTACTGCTAGTGTGTCTTAACACTCTTTTGCATTGTCCAATTCTATCTTTAGTTTTTCTTCAATATTACAAGAAGAATGACTTAGTGATATGGCCCTATTTGGTAATGCTAGGGCCTCGGCCATTACTGCTTGACAAATTGTGGCAAACTTTCCTGGTTACCTACAGGCTTACACTTCCTTTGTTTGAAATTATTAATTTGCTTGACCATCTACTTGTTTGAAAGATTTGATGTATTTATAGATTGAGATAGAGGTCAATAAAGAAAAATACGGAGAAAGAATAGTTGGAACATACCGAAAATTTTTAGGATTACTTCTCCTTCTGTATTGGAGCTGAACGGATGTAATACAGCCGTCCCCATGTCCATTCTGTTCCAAAAGGCAGCTTGAACCTCATAGAGTTATTTCCAGGTACTTTACTATGTATCTGTTTCAAACGGTCTAATAGCAGTGAGTTGTGCATATGCCAGTCCTCTGGAACATGCCCAGTCCAAATCCAGCCTTTATTGAACGGGCTACCCCTTTCATTAAGCAGATTAGAGGAAACTTGAGAAATTGATTTCAAAGTAGGTTGAGACCTCCTGGAAAGTTTAGCCTGTGATGTATTCTCGTATTCTTCCATATATATTTTGCAAATTAATTATCTATGTTCCTCTATGGTTGGAAGCAATAGTGTGTTACTTGACCGGTCTATGTTGTTTAACCAGGAAGAACATAGGACTGTGCTCAGGAGTGTTGTGTATAATCGGCATAACTCGTCAATGTAAAAAAATTGACTGAAGAAAAGGAAAAGCTGGTATACTGAGTATAGGGATTGAGGATCATCAGGCGGGCAGATCAATTAGCTTCTGAACTTGATAACTGTCACTTTTTCCTGTTTTTTTATTTGTTTCAGTTCTTCCATTTATTGCTTGTGAAAGTTTTCTTTTCATGTTCAAATTCATGCCCCTAGGCTCATTGGATAGAATGCCCATCTAATGAATCCCGTTGTCTTTGATACTACATTGTTGTTCCTTCCCTTGTGCTAGTATACTTTTTACATAAACTGGTTTAAGAGGAAAAGGCATGTCCTGTTGAATGTGTCAGTCATGCCTCACTTTACATATTCATCTTCCTTTTGCCTCCTGTGGTGGCAGAATACTTTTGGACATACATGAGGGCCGACTCTGAAGGTTTAGTGCAGATCCGCAGGCTATCAGAAGCCGGGAGATTGCATATACCTGTTGATAAAACATTCCCAATCACACAAGTGAGAGAGGCTCACGAGGCTAAAGAGAGAAAGCAAATTCCCGGTAAAGTGGTGTTGGAACTTGACTGAAATGTGTAGAAGCTGATTTTTTTGGCTAGTCTCTGTAAATGGTTCTCGGCTTCTTCTTTTTTTAATTGAATAAAATTCCTGGTAATTATCTATGTCCCTTCCTTGATGGTTGGATTTGTACCCACAAACGATGCAAGTTTTAATTCCTCACAAAGGAGATAGAACGACATGAGATGATTTATTAACACAATGGTCATGTGAACAAAATGTGCTCACATATTTACAGGTTCCAAGGTGAATGAATATTTTGAATGGAACAAAATTCCTAGTAATTGTTGTGTGGAGGGAGCACGGTGCAATTTTTTTCCCTTTCCAAAGTGGTACTAGAACTCGATTGAAATGTGTAGAAGCTGATGTTTTTGGTTAACCACTTTGGAAAGGGAAAAAAAATTGTTCTGTGCTCCCTCCACGCAACAATCACCAGGAATTTTGTTCCATTCAAAATATTTATCCACCTTGGGAATGTAAATATGTGAGCACATTTTTTTCTAAATGACCATTGTGTGATCTCTTGTGGTTCTCTCTTTTGTGAAGAATGAAAACTTGCATCGTTCATGAAAATTCAGAATCTAGCTCTAGAGTCGATTTGAGTAAATATCCTCCCACCCAAAAAGGTTATGCTCGGACTTGCTAATGTCACTTAAGAACCTCGTAGCGTTTTGCATTGTCCCAAGACCGACTTAATTTGTGTAGTGTTGATTTATTTTTTTCTCGGTGGAACTGTCAAGACGTTAAGTGACTAAATTTATGCTTATGCGAAAATGGATACATAAAGGGAAAGCTGAATAGCTATGTAAGGGTTGCATCGTATTTAAGCTTGTTATGAAACTGGTGAAGGGTTACAGAAGTCGAAAACAAAGTGAGTAATGTAAGGCGGTCAAGCATACGACACAGCATTAGCTTCGTTCTTTCTGAAGAAGATTTAGAAGCAGTGTAGCTATGCGTAAGCGCACGAAAACAGCTCCTGTCAATAGCTCTTTTGGTCAGAATGGGAGTACTTGATATGGGTTCAAGCCTTTGCCTTCAGAGTACTTTCAGACTCATTTATCGTCCCTTTTAAGCTGCAGTTTCGACCCCATCTGTGATTAAATGCAGTCAGCGACCAAAAATCAGAAGTGACAGCATAATAGCAGTTCTGTACCTGATAAGCGTTGAGTCACAACTTTGCCGGATGAGGACTATAGGGACTTGATATTATTTTATAGCACCCTTAGATGAGAACCAGGTAAAATTCCGTCCAGAGTTAAATGTTAGAGATCAGGACATTTCACCTGCAAAGTTAGAATTCCGTCTGATTCACGATTTACACACACAGTAACCGAGCAGCCTAACTTGTCCCTCCACCAATTAAAGCCGAATGTGTCCATTTTTCGCGCTCCTGGGTAAATAAATGAATTGAGAACTATGACTCGCTCGCTTAAAATCGGTATACCGATAGACTTTAATTGGGTTTAATTGGGTATTGAGAAAATCGGTATACCGATAGACTTTAATTGGGTTTAATTGGGTATTGAGTCGAAAACAAGATTCAATCGGCATATTTAAATGCTCACTTACAATCGCACGGGTAATCTTCCATGGAGCGTTGTTAGCGCCTGTGGGATTATCCTGAATTTGCAGATAACGCAATATAAATACGCCCAAAAGGCTGGCCCAATCTGTGGTGGACTGTATGGACTGTATATCTTAGCCCACTTCCGGTGGGGACCACGGGCATCTTGTAAGACCAAGAAAGGGGTTAACATTAATTGAAAAGATTATAAGACAAATACACCGGTTGCGCATGCGCCCCCAATGAATCACAACCGTCAGATCATATAGGTCGCACGTGAAATTCATTCCATTCACCAGCTGAGATTCACTTGGGCTTAAGTTGCACCCGTTTCGTGCAAGTGTTGCTGCTCGTAAGATAAAATATACCATCTTCGATCCACATCAACCCCTGCTTTTTAGGGGTAAGCATGGTTCCAGAGTAGAACTTGGAACTAGAGAACCTGACCAGTGAGAACTTATAGGTTTTAGGTTAGTAAGTTCCAAGTTTTAAAATTGGGAGTCCTGTTTCGACGAATAAGTTTCAGGTTCTAGGTAAGTGGAACCTGAAAACTTAGAACCTGAAACTTAAAACCTAAATAAGTTTTTGTGTTTTTTTTTTTTGTATATGTCTTTGCGTGATCCTGCGGCGTTTCGTGACGTTAGATGATAAGTGTATAAACTGGAACTACTAGTATGAGTTTTCATTTTATGACTTGTTAATATTTCATATTCTTCGTATATCTAAATATAAATTGTGGTTAGTGGATCATAACAATAAAATGGTGATCATTAAAGTTGATGATTCACTGCAATTGTTCAATTAATAATACAAGTGAAACCTAGGTAGACCTTGAAACCAACCTCAAATCTATGATAGAGTAGGTTATAAGTTCAAAAAAATGAGAAACCTATTATCATGGGTGGAACCTATATGGAACATGGAACCACTCACCGTAGTATCGATTCTCGTAATGACTTATCATTTTAATTATATTTATCTGAATTGTAATGCCAGAAAAGCTAGTCTTTTGTATTTTATTTGGTGAATGATAAGCTTGTTTGGTATTTTTGTGTTCATTTTTATTTTATTTAACTAAAAATAAAATAAAAAAAAGAACATGTTAGATCTTGGAACCTGCACTGGAACGTGATAGGGTAGATTTTAAGTTTCAAATTCTGACGAGTAAATTTCAAGTTTCAAAAAATGAAAAATCTGTATTCGAAAATAGGTTTCAGGTTCGTGCGAAACCTATAAAGAATACGAAACTACCCAACCCTAGTGCTTTTCCCCATTACAGCTGGCATTAGCAGAACTCCGTGGAGTATTATTAAACTCGATTAAGATTATTATTATTATTATTATTATTATTAAAGGAAAGGGGGCAAAAGCCCAGATTAATGCAGCTTTTAATGCTTGTGTTTGTCCGGTTATGCTTCTTTTTCTCACGTCTCATTAACAAAGAAAGTCTTTGGTCAAAACCACTCTTTCGCTTTCCCAACGACCCCTTTGACTACGGCTCGTTGCTCCCACGCCCTCAGCTCTACCTTCCCTGCGACTCCAGCTCCACGGTTACAGCTCCTAAAAATTAAATTCTCGAGAAGGTCGCCACCAATCGGCATTCGACACGCGGGCGCCAGCTGTCCAATTTATCTTCTTCTCATATCACCTTCCGCCTCCGTCACTAAAACCATATGGAAGTCCAGTCCCACACTCCCAATTCGTGCTCTAGTGCACAGCAATTACGCGACGTGCGTGGGACGAGAGGGTTTCCATTAGGGCCGAGCGAAATGCCCGCCGGTCCGAAAAAGCCCGAACCGCCCCGCAACTTTCGGGCTTCTCGAGCCGGAAACTACATTTAATCTCGTCAAATTTTAGCTTTTAAGTACACCGTGTCTTTAGCTTTAGAGGCTTCGTGAGCGACAAGAAGCTGCTGTTTATCCCTTTTAATTATCAGTTCTCGTGAGGCATTATTATTATCAACAAGGCGTCGGGCAAACAAATCCTTCCGCATCTCCCTCGTTCAACTCCCACGCGCTGTCCAACGGCTCCCAGTCCTCCATGCTCCGCGCGCGCGCGCGCGTGCGAGCGGGACACGGCAGCCGACGAGGCGTCTCGACATGCGCACCACGCGCCGCATCTAACCGTCGAGTACGCGCGGCCGTACTCGTGTCCGGGGGGAGGTGGCGTCCAATCGCCAGCCCGCGGCGCGTGGGTCTTCTTTTTCAACTCACGCCCCCCACACCAACCACTGCCGTATCATTTACCACATCCTGCGGTCTCGCTCAGGTCACGTGCGCCTTCGGATTCCTCTTCCTTTTCCCGAGTCACGGTCGCTGCAATGAATCGAAGCGCCCCCCCACCCATGTGACCCCCCTTCGCTACCGATTGGCCCATCCTTTCGTGCACTATTTACGGAATTTGCCACCTCGTGATTATAAAATAAAAAAAGTGGGCTTCTTCCCGCTAGCGACAAGCTACGGGAAAACGGCTATTATTATTATTATTATTGAGTTTCGCGAAAATACCCACAAAAAAAAAAGGCACGTACACGAGACTGTCCGAAAGCTTTTGACAGTGTTTTTTTTATTTTTTTTTATTTTTGATATTCCCGAGGTGGGGGGGAGACGCGGCCATTTGACCCTTTTGCCCCTCTCGTCGTGTCGTATTCTGTGTCTGCTTTCCTCCTCCTCCTTCCTCCCTACCTCCCTACCTCTCTCTCTCTCTCTCTCAAAAGGTGGCACTGTCCATTTGATCTGGCCACGTTCGGTGCCCCCGTCACATGGCTATAATGGCAGCGACACATTCTCTCCATTATTTCGGTTCGAGAGGGAGGGGTGGGTGTCTCCATGGAAGCTTTCATTCCGAGTCGTGGGGCTCACTGATTGCACCAATACCATCAAGTCAAATGCTTAGGTCAAACTCGTAGCTTAATGGTTCCTAACTTAGTTGACCTGTAGCTTGGTTTTACTAAACATAGAAAAGGGTGAAATTTTCATTGATGGGGCATACCGACTCAAAACTCTTAAGATCCATGGACAACGACGGATATCAAAACGAGGCATTTCGACGAGCAATCGCTCGTCTCGGCATTGATCGCTTAATGCTCGGTGCAAACAATCACTAGTTTCTACGTTGATTACCATCTTATTTGTTGGAGTTGGCGAATACTTCGGGAACCCTTGTTTCTCGTATTAGGCATGTCCACGTGAATTTAGAAAAATCAAAGTATGAATCGACGATATATGACCTCTACGCACGGAATGTCAGGGGTCCCGCTGCCTGAACAGCGAGCAGGGGTTCCGTTCTCCAGTGAGCGGAAGGGGGCTCGGGGGCAGCGCCCCCGAAACAACATTGAATTTGCTGACCCGTTTGTTATGAGACCA